GCTACTATATTTTTTAATCACAAACTGGATTAACTGAAGAAAAAAAAATATGGTGAAAAAATTACAAAGTTACATAAAAGTATTTGCAAGCAACATTATATCAAGATTAGAACTACACTCTTTTTCTGTGTGTTTGTATCTTGGTGAGAAATCAAATTTTTGTTTTTTAAGCAGAGTTTATTAAACACAGATTTGATTTATCAATTCTTTCATATTACAATATAAACCAAACACTGTAGGCATGTTAAATGTGTTGCAGCTTCTGTCTAAGCTTGGGGCAACCTGGTGTATTTATATAAATATCTTATAGAATAACCTCCTTCAGAAACAAATGTTAATGAAAATACAGAAAAATTGCAGCAGGGGATGCATTATTTTCAGGCATGGATCCAAACCTGCAGTTCACCTCATGATGGATAGAATCTGATAGGTTTTAATGCATTTCTTGACACATATTTCATCTGAGAACAAATTGTTTAATAAGGGAACAATCTATAAGAGTTATAGAGAAACAAAGTGACATATAAGAGTTGTAGAGAACTAAACTGATCTATATAAGAGTTGTAGAGCACCAGATTGATCTATAAGAGTTGTAGAGAAGCAAAGTGATCTATATAAGAGTTGTAGAGAACCAAAGTGATCTTTAAGAGTTGTAGAGAAGCAAAGTGATCTATATAAGAGTTGTAGAGAACCTTTTAGTGATCTGTATAAGAGTAGTAGAGAACCAAAATATTCTACAAGAGTTGTAGGGATCCGAAGTGATCTTGTAAGCAACCAAAGTGATCTTGTAAGCAACCAAAGTGACCTAGAGATGTAAGGAACCAAAGTTAGCTAGAATTGTAAGGTCAGGAAGCAGATCAGTGCTCTTATTGTAAGCAACCAAAGTGATCTTGTAAGCAACCAAAGTGATCTAAAGTTGCAAGCAACCAAGTAAACCTAAAGTTGTAAGCAACCAACTTAAAGATTTTAATAAACAAGGAACCAAAATGAACTAAAACTGTAATTTAAGGAACCAATTTAAAGTAATCTAAAGCTGTAATGTTAGAAACCAAATTAAATTCATGTAGCAATGTAAAAGTTATCTTGTAAGGAACAAAAACTCTTGTTTGGAAAATGAATAGAAGGACATAGGTATGTCTCAATTAGGGATCTGACCAATCCCCATAAAAAGAATGAAATCAAATGACGTCAACTATCTGGTACGTGTAACCCAAAACTAGAATTCATGTATTATGGCCATTTTATTTTGAAGCATTGTCACCCATTAGTCTATGTGCCATATATTTTATCTCTTCAAAATTTACATTTTTATTCCTGCTTTTGATACTTAGTCTCCCATTTCTTTGAATCTGTTAAAGTTCTTATGAATTCCAAATATATTGTATATTGTACCATTCAAACATCCAGAGTTTTCTATTGAGGACCTCACTATGGCAACAGAGAGAAATATCACACATCATAGAGAGGACTCTTTATAAATTTTATTAAAGGGTTAAATTGTAATTACCATGGTAACCTTATGCCCCTTACTCTTTATATGATAAATAGAATTCATGTGCAAAACTGGATATTTTACAAGGTCAAAAGAGATTTTGGAGTCCAGATATAGTCACTGTTGACAGCAGGTGAGAATGGCAGGTATCATACGTCAATCGGATCAGTTCCTCATTTACTTTGCCATCCATTACTTGACAATCCTGCTTAATTAATTTTGATCACCATGGAAATCGAAGAAGGCTATCTCATAAGAACCTAACACCAGGTTTGTGGTCTCATTGACTGTAGGACTGACTCTTTGGTCACTTTGAGGTGTGAAAGCCTGTTGGTTACATCTTGTGACCAGACACTTGTTTGAGCATCTTTTTCAGACTTCAGCTACAAAGACAGATAAACATTTGTCATCAAAAGAGTCTTCCTTAGTGAATCACAAACCAAATCTGTTCCAAGACTCTCTGTGTATTTTTTTTCCTAGTTGGAAAGTGTTAGACTTTGATGTTGACTTCTAGAGGATGATATCATGTTCTGTCTCTGTCATTGGAATGAGTTCAGTCACAGGCCTGAAGAATATTGTTTTTAGCTATTCGAATTCTGTAATTATAATGGTCTTCACCTTTATTAACTGACTCAGGAGAAGAAATCTCTCTGGACCTAAATTGCAGCCAGAAAAAAAAAATCAATCTGCAAATTGATAAAGATCTGTATTTACTGCTTGACAAAGCATCAAAGCAATTATTGCCTTTTATTAGCTGCATGGTAATTTTAATTAAACAGGTGACAAATAAAGAAATTCTTTGATTAAAAGAGAGACTTATAATAAAACACAGATAAGGAATTCCTTCTTAGGGACATGCCTTCAGTTAACAAAGCAACAACACCTAAATGCAGGTAATTGATTTTTGGTATTTATATTTTGTACATTGGATTATCAACTTTTTTTTATGCAGTTGAATTAAGATAAAGAGAAAAGAAATTAAAAAAGATAATATACCAATACAGAGCAGCTTAAGTATCCTTTGTTTTTTTTTTATTATGGTTTTGCAATATATAATCTATAGTCTGTGTGCACTGTCAAATCTTTAATTTTTGTAATCTTTTAAAAAAAAATTTCTTTTGAAAAAAATTGAGAGTTTTAAAAAAATTATGACTATATTTTGCATTCATTTTTGGACACATGCTTTAAAACAGCACAAGTGAGCTCTTAAGCTGCATGCTTTTAAGGAGAAACTCATTATAGCCTATTGATTCTCCCGACTGCATTGTCAACAGAGAGAGACTGTCATCTATAATTGATCAAGTTTAAAATCTGTGCTCATTACTTCAGTGATCAGACAAAGTTGTAATTTAATAGTGCTCACTACAGGAAGATGGGAAGAGATGCTTGCAAGATACAGCAAGAGAAATTCATATTAGCTGTATAGCATGCAGGCTTGTTTACATTCGTTGTCTCATGGAGACCTCGGAAACCTAGGGGTCAGAAACCTAGTGGTCAATTGTGCAGTGATGTCCCTCCATTTAGTCCTAATACATTGGTCTAGGCCCTAAATGACGTATATAGTTAACCTCTGTGTGGGAGGACTCTAATTTTAGTAACACTTAATATTTTAATGGAAATTTTCAGCCATGACTGATTTCAATTTACGGAACACAAAATTTTGAGATAGACTAAATCCCAACACTGGTACTGATATGTCCTGTTATTAATTGAATTGGTGATAGAGATATTGGGGATCAATCCTGTTGATCCTGTTCCTGATTCGCAGAGTTCTTTGACTGCTTGAAATTGAAACTTCATATTTTGTTGTCTTTGTTGCAAGTCTGCAAAGTGAATTTTAATTTGGGATTGCAACAGGAAGGGAAAACCTTGTACTTGACCAGTATAAACTCTGGAATGTCTATAGGTACCTTAAGCATCCTTTTTGAATCATGTTAGTTTAAATCAAAGTGTGATATGTCACTGCAATGAACTTCCTCATTTGAGTAAATGTGTAAAAATCTTATGTAACATGTTAGAGAAACCAAACAACCCATAACCAAAGAAAAAAGGCTGACTTGGAGCTAGTCCTATTAAACAAAGCAGATAAGAAAATTGTTTAGCTTTTAATTCTGGGGTTTTGAACCACATACCCTTAGATTTATGCTTGTAGACACTATTCAGCATTTTTGCCACTAAAGAAGCCATATTCATCCTTACTTATTGCAGGTTTTCATGATTAGAATCTACTCTTGCATTATAATCCTTGTATTGGTACAGGCCCAAATTTATGAGCAGTTTCCGGTAAAAGTGTTGGTCATTTATTACAGAAAACCAATAACTACTGTAAGTCCAGCACTGAGAGCAGCTCCCGGCCTCTTAATATTATCAAGGAATGAACGTTAAAGCTAATGACCTGTGAATTATTGGTCACTAAAATGATTTTGACCTAATTGTATGGTTTATTTATAGTTTGTTTACAGTAGTCTCAAAATAAGACTTGTTAAAGGGCAAGAGCAGTTCTGCAATTCTTTACTATTAAAATTATCTGATGGGTATTAGCCATTGAAGCTAATAAAAGTTCAAATTCTACAGAAGATGGTAGTTTGTTTGCTTGTGAACAAACAAATTCAGTTAATTAAGGCTTGCACAAAATATTTTCAATACAACTTTTTTCATCTGTTTCTATTATCACTGAAGTAGTGTTAGAATTGTAAAGCCCTCAAAACTCCCAAGTAGAAATAATCAGTTGTTTATTCCATAAATTCCTTGGAAGTTGTATGGATCATCCGTACTCAGCTGAGTACAGCTGATTGTTCTGGTATTGACCATTGAACTCAGATAATGTAACATGAAGAACTGCTGGAAGCAATGACATTCTTTTCAGACAGTAGATCTGTATATAAGCACAAATGCTTAAGGGAAAAACAACACTTGAACAGCTCTGCATACCTAATTTTATGTGCACACACTCATAAAAAAGAGATTATTAATGGGAATCATAAATCAATTGAATTTGAAATCCACAGAGTAATGAAATCAGGTGAAATCAGTACGTTATTCTGATGAACAAATTGCATTTATTTGTTACAGTTATTTCTATTTGAAAATTTCTTGAACTACTTGTAGCTTATTTAGATGATATCATAAATCTTTCTACAAGAATGCAAGATTTCGTTTTTAGGAGGTACCTCATCAAGTCTGATATTTTTCTAGAGTGTTGATGGCATGTGCACTTCAGTGAAAATTACTAAACTTTCCGAGATCAGCAGTTTCAGCCATGATCGTTTTAAAAATTGTAAATTTGTCTCTTCTTTATACAATGCATATTAACTTAATTAAGATGAATTTTAAAAAAAAAATCTTCAAATTTTGAGAAACTTAACCAAAATTTACCAGGGGAAACAAACTTTTATTTGTTGTAATTTTTAAGCTTACAGCATGTAAAATACATGTATATGCTCTATTTTAATTTTTTTTACTATAACATGTCTAATAAAATGCTAAAAAACATTTTGTTTCATTTCAGGGTTTTTAAAAAGACAAGCCCAAATGGAAAGGTGTGTATATTTCAAAACTGAACCAAAGATATACATAAATCATCACGTCAAGGTTTTCGTAATTGCTATAGCGTGATTAACAATTTCAAGGTTAGATTGCTTTCAATGAGATATTTCTAACTGGGTTCTGATTCATAAACTATGCTCCAAATTTTATTTTTATAGCTTTATGTTTTCTGTCAGCTGTAACTCATAACAGCTAGAGAGCATATATACCTATATTTTCATTATTTAAAATTGCATGCTTATGTGTTTGAATTAATGACTTGGAATATATTAAATAAGGGATTTAAGGTGGATAAATGTGTCTTGATATTCAACTTAGTATGTTTTTAATTAAATAGTTGATAAGATTATGAAATACAAAAATTAATAAAACGAAGTACAAATTTGAATGTTGAACTCAAAGAGGCAAAATATGATAGTAGTATATCAACTAAAGCCAGGTGTCGTAATGGGCAAGTCGTGAGAGAATTGGATTTTATATGCATCAAGACTTCCCCGCTCTAAGTTTGTTATACCTAAAAATGCAATTTTATGTTACCAGTTTTATGCTAATGTCTGAGGAATCATATCTCCATGTTAAATAAAAGTAGCTTTAAGTGCAGTTTGTTTATGAAAAAAATTGATGTACGAAAATTAAGTGGTGATGTGAAAAGGTTTTTTTTGAATTCTCAAAAAATTTGCTTCGAAAGAAAAAAAAAAATCCTGTAATAAAAATTAGAAATGCACAAAGTGAATTCATCCAAAATTGAGTGAAGGCCAAAATATTTGATAATAATGCATGTGAGGGATTCTAATTGAGCATTGTAACTCGGTGTTAATTTCTTGTTGCAATCGATATAAAACTGATTGATCATTAAGCTTTATGGCCTTTTGGAGTTCATTGGAAAACAATAATGTTTTCAATCTTTTTCAGATAACGACATACCTGGGAAAACGAGATTTCATTGATCACCTAACTCATATAGACCCTATTGGTAAGGTGTAATTTTCGTCAAAGTAAACTTTTTATGTACTTTTTTAAAAGTACATTTCTTAAATTCTTTTTATCTTTATCTCATTAGAATATCATGCACTTTCTTAAAAAAAAATCTTAGGTGCATTTTTAAAAAAAAAAAAAATTATTTAATTTATTTTAATTTAAAAAAAAATGATATATACAGCTAATATATTAGATTTATGTACTTCTTTATCCAATTCTTGTTTGATAATGGTACATGTACCTGCATGAACTTATTTCCTTTGATACTGTAATAAATTGTAGCAAGTTTACTGTACTGTTGTCTAAGGGCATGTGCATTCATGTCATTTTGTAAATGTTCAAATTGTTACCTGTATAATATTGCTGCTAATGATGTCAAAAAAGTAATCAGGTGATTTTATACTTATAGCATATAATTTTTGCTTTAAGTATGTTTCAGACAAACAGTTTTTCTTGGTCAGCATAAAATATATGTACTGTAAAATTTTTTATTGGCAAGAACTTTATTTTTCATTTAATATTAAACACAGACAGAAATTTCATTCTCACATAATATTTGTATTATTGAAGATTATAAGTAAGATTATCAAGAATTCATGAAATGTTAGTGTGGGTTATGAATTAACCCAAAATAAATGTCTGGCATAAATAAGGTGTTGCAAAAATTTAATAATCTACAGTTTGTTTTTCTGTATTAATTATAATACACATTATGCCATGCTTAAATAAACTAATGTCTACACAAGATGGGTTGACTTGAGCAGAGTAACCTAGGAATTAACATTTAGATGAATCTGCTGACTTTTTGGTTATGTCAGGTCACAGAAAAATCAATAGCTGACCATCTTAGCCTTGACATATGGAATACAAAATGTTTTCAACAAATAAAGAACAAAAATTATTTTACACACATTGCTATCCCCTGTATTTTTGGAACAGTAATTACCAATACAAAAGTTCCACTGACTATGCCAACTAATCATGTGCAGATAATATTTTTATAAATTGAACTTTTACTTAATTCTATGATTTAGCTTACTTCAACAAAGTTGGGGGACCTTAATTAATACCCTCAGTGTCGGCGTCAGCATCCAGGTTAAAGTTTGGGAGCAGATTTCTTTCAAATACTTCTGAGTCCTATATTGATCAGAGATGCATGGTACTAATATGTTTCACTGTACCAATCAGGTTTCAGGTGCTATTTTCACAGTTAAAGAATGATAAGGTTAATGTTGGTTCTGAGTTCCTGGTCTCATTTCATATTTAGAATCTATATTAACCAGACTTGCTGGGATGATACATCTAAGGATGTATACTACTGGACTTGATTTTGGATTGTGGATCTGACCTACATTTTACTGGTGAGTGACCAGGTTAAAGATTTTTGGAGCAGGTTCATTCTAAAGCATGGATGATACATGTAAGAATGCACACTACAAGACTTGCTTCAGAGAATGGTTTTGACCTACATTTTCAGGATTAGTGATCAGGTTAAGTTTTGGAGCAGGTTTGTTACCAAGAAACAATAAGGACTACCTGAACCAAATTTGCATGGATTATTATCAAGGGATGCACACTACCAGAGTTGCTTTGGATGGTGGGTTTGACCTACATTTTTCAGATGTGTGACTAGTGTAAAGTTTTTGGAGCAAGCTCAATCCATTGTAACTTTGAGCATATCTGGACCAAACTTGCATGGAATTTGCATGTAGGGATGCACATTATCAGACTTGCTTCAGATGCTGGATTTGACCTACATTCTCCACATAGTGACTAGGTTTAAATTTTGGGAGCAGGTACATTCTAGTGTAAATTCGAGCCCTACCTTGACCATTTGGTGGATGGTGCATCTAGGGATGCACACTACCAGAGTTGCTTTGGATGATGGATTTGACCTACATTTTTCAGATGAGTGACCAGGTCATAGTTTTTGGAGCAGGTTCATTCCAGTTTAATTTAAGCTCTTCATAGAGCCAAGTTGTATTGATGTATTGATCTTGGGGTGCATGCTACCAGACTTACTTTGGATGCTGGATCTGACCTATGCTTTCCAGATGAGTGACCAGGTTAAAGTTTTTGAGCAGGTCCATTCGCAAGTAACTTTAAGGCCTCCTGGACCAAACATGTATGGATGTTGCATTAAGGGATGCACACTAACAGATTTGCTTTGTATGCTAGATTTGACCTGCGTTTTCTGGATGAGTGGCCGGTTAAAAATTTGTAGAACAAATCCATTTACAAGTAACTGCAAGCCCTACCTTGACCAAAATTGCATAAATGTTGCATCTAGGGGTGGACACTTCTGGATTATTAGTTTAGTTTAGTGTGGGACTTTGCCTTACTTAAAGATAACATTTGTTGCAGGTGAGCTCTGTAATCTTTGATTAACTATGTTTTAAGACTATGGTTGTATCCAAATGTTACTTCTACCAAACTTACCTGAGAAAAAGTACAACCAATTGTCGATTAATACTTGTTCTTAGAGTCGAGTATATACAGTATATGAAAAAAATCTGCCATAATAATTAATTGTATTCTTCATTTGCAGATGGCATAGTTCTGGTTGATCCTGATTACTTACAAGGAAGGAAAGTGTTCGCCCATGTATTGGCAGCATTTCGTTATGGACGTGAAGATTTGGACGTTCTTGGTCTTACATTTAGAAAAGACCTTTACTTGGCAAATTTTCAGGTGTACCCCCCAGTGGAGGACCAAGCTAAACCCCTCACAAATCTACAGGAGCGACTCATTAGAAAATTAGGATCCAATGCCTATCCTTTCTTCTTTGAGGTAAAACTAGCAATAAAGTTGTAGTTTGTATCCTAGTAAAGACATCAACTTGATACTAATGAAAATCACAAAACAGAGAATTACTACCATTACTTCATAAAATGAATGAAAAACACATAGAAGTATGCAAACAAATTGAATAATTGCATGTTAGTGTGATTTATGGCACCATAAAATAAAAAAAAATCTGCATATATATGCATATATTTACAATATTAGGTCACCTGAGTTACTCAGATTTTGCTATCTATTTTCATCCATTGTCATCTGTAAACTTTTGAACGTTTTTAGATTTTTCTCATAAACCACTCGACCAATTTCAACCAAAAGCATCCCCCAGCTGGGGCCTGAGGGGTGGGTCAAAAACCATCAAAATTATTGCAATTTCCAAAAATCTTCTTCTTTACTCCTGGACATCAAGCACTCAAACAGTTGGCATGATAATAACTATATCAATGAGTCCTTTACCAAAATTGTGAAATCCATGACCCCAGGATAATGGGTTCTAGAGCTAGGGTGGAGGTTTATTGATCATATAGAAAAATGCATAAATTCTTTAAAAAGCTTCTTCTCTTCACCTGTATATTTAGCAGACAAACTTAGTGCATGGTTATGATGAGCAAGGGTGCCTCTTCCAAATTGTGAAATTAATGGCCCTTGGGTCATGTTCTGGTGTTAGGGCTGGGCTCTATTGAATATATAGTGAAAATGCATTAATTCTTTGAAAATCTTCTCTCGTCCTGGGTATTTAGCAGATGAACCAAGTGCATAGTTATGATGATCAAGAGTGCCTCTTCCAAAATCATGAAATTCATGACCCCTGGGTCAGGGGTTATGGTGCCTGGTACAGGCAAATAAATAGATCTATTTTAAGATTTGTTAATGAGTACTAGACTACATGTAATATTTAGTTTGTCCCTGATTATCCTATTTCTTTTGCTATTGGGCAACATAACTTCATGTATCAATTTACTTTGTTTTATTTAATACTTCTTTGGACCCTTCACAGTGTTGTATTATACTCAGGTGACCATTAAGGCCCTAGGGCCTCTTGTCTGCCACTTAGTACTTAAGAAAGTTAATTTTTCCATCTATTTTCTCAAGGAATTCCTGATTGTGATGTCGCATTTATATCTGTGGTGTCATGTTTTTGTTTCACAGGAAATGCAAGTGATTTTTAAGGAGTTTAAAATAACAGAACTGTGGAGTGTAAATATTTGTTGTTGCTATCCATACTAGTGACAATTCTTTCCCTGCAAAACTCTTATTAACACAATTATGCCATAGGTTAATATTGGGGATATTTACATGTAAATATAAGATTATTTTCTCTTTGTTCAGTGACCAGTATTTATTTATCTTTTTTTTCAGCTTCCTCCCAACGCCCCAGCCTCTGTTACACTACAGCCCGCCCCAGGGGATACTGGCAAGGTGAGAGTTATAGGTCTCTAAGTGTCTAAGATAGAAATCTCAAATTGAACCTGTCATCTCTTTGGCTAGAAGACCTCTAAAGCCTAGAGGGTCAAACACGCATTTGTGTTTTTAATCGCGTTTCGCCTTTACCCTGTTTTCCTCCATGGTTAAGTTTTCAGATGTAGAGAACCCTGGAGGTGTGCTGTTGGTATCTGAATATTGCTTTAGCACAAGTCACTGGTACAATACGGCAAACATTTAAAATTTTTATCTTTTTTCTTTCAAATACAACCTATAGTTTGTATATGAACACTTTTTCTTTGTTTCATTTGACTGGCAAAAAGCTTTTTCAAGAAAACATAAACTATGAAACATGCAGATATCAGAAAAGGGATATGAGAAAAAAAAATCTTTGAAAACATGTTTATAAAAATTTTGAATTCTCACAGGGAATCTGCCATGTTTGCCACATCTTGTTAACAATGAACCATGTAGTACTTTTTTGTAATTTCTATGTCACGACAACCTTATTAAAATCAGCAAGTTGTTTTACAAAAAGCTTCACTCCTCAGGGAGTTGAACAGCTGATTTTAATGTATTGCCATGATCTCTCTCTTTTCATTTGTGTTCAGTAATGAAATTGTGATAATATGTTATCAATCTGTTTTATTTTCTGAAACTCACTGCATTACATCTAAAGTGCTTCTCTGTCTCAAGGTTACTTTGAGAAACTATAGACTCCCCTTCCAAGTATGTATCTTGATTTGACTGGGGAGGGGGGGGGGTTCAAATTGTTAGTTAAAGTAAATTATATTGAAGTAAATTATCATACACAATTTGTATCTACATAGCATTGTGATACACAGTTAAGGAATTTTAGTGAAATAGTATGTTATTTCACAACCTATATAAGTTAAATGTAACTTGTGACAAACAATGTATGTGCAGCTTTAATATATGTATATACATGTTTCTTAAAAATATATGAGCATTGAGCAATTCCTTTTGTATTATGTCTTTAATCACTAAATGCAGTTTGTCAACAAACTGAAAAATGCGCTGCAGCGTGTTATGAAAATTTGTATGCACTCCTCATGTAATATTTTTTTTAAATTTGAAAGTAATTAATACTATGTGACAGAAATTGCGTGGGGAGATATATTATGTCATACTGCAAAGTGAAAATTACTATTTAACAAATACACATTTTTATTTACATTTTTTTTTTTACCTCATGATATTTTAAAAGTTATATTTTAATCTATTTTCTTACACCACCAGTGTGACGTACGTACGTCATATTAGATGCATGACTTTGGTGTGAAACGAAAGTTTTTCACACATTGTATAAGGAGCGAGGCACAGCTTTGGTATATTTATATAACTGTATGTAGTATATATAGAATAAGCATGATGTCAAAGGGAAAAAGAAAATATTGATGCATTTTTTTTTCTTCTCAAACTGGGAAAGCTACAGGGACCAAAGCCATGATAAACAGTACAAAATTAGATAAGGGTGTTGGTTGAGTTGACAGTTTAACAGATTAATACATAACCAAAGTGACAACAGATGTTGTAATATAGAGGAGAAAGATCAATAATATAACATCTTATAGTGGTTTTATCACGTATGTATACATGAATACAGCTCCTCAAAAAAGTTGCTTGAAACATAGACCTCATTTTTTTTTTACCTACAACTTGATTTTACAGAATTTCATCTAAAAATTTTTTTTTTATTGAAAATAAAAATAAATGTACATTCAGTTACGCTCATTGAATAAGTTTATCTTGCAAAGTGTTATACATGCTGTAAATGTACTTTTTACCACGGGTCATAATTCCGTGGACAATTTCTGTTCAATTCGCAGGTAGAAAAACGTGGATTTCTTGGATTGCTTTTTATGTCTTAGATATACTTTGAATTTCCGCGAGATTTTTGTGATCATGTACATAGCATTAATTAATACCATCCAGAAAAAAAGAATAATCAACATCAGATTATTTATATATTGATCTCTGTTGAAAATCTTCAATTTGTTGAAAAAAGAAATTGCAGTGATGAAAACAGTATCAAATATGTTATTAAAATCCACATGGAAATAATTTGTTGTTTGATTATGACAACAGATTTTATTGGCACATAAATGTCTTACATCTGATATATTGACATTTATTTTTTAGCTCTATATTCTATAAATTCAGTATGAAGACATTTGAGACAGAAACTAAAAATAGGTTCTGCCTTGAACAATATTTCAAAACATTTTACATGGATTGCTTTTAATGAACATTTATTATATTTTTTTTCAATCAACAAGAAATCATTGAACTTTTTCAAGTAAACTTATTCTAGAAAATGTATTATAATTTTTATGTTCTTAGACTCTTTTTATTCTGGGTAGAAATTTTAGCACTAGGTGATGTTTTGATTAATAAATCAAGCTTTGAAGCATGCTCATCAGCTGGTTGTCAGAAACTTGAGTCGGGCCCTGAGCTATCTGGCATTTGATGTCTAGGGAAATCAGAGTAGTATATTTGTTAGAAAATATGTCAGTGCCTAATTAATTTCATGAAATATTGGTCCTTGTAAAACAGTGTTGCAATTGAATCCTTATGAGCCTGCTAGAACCTTTATACAATGCCCCTAGAGATGCACATTAACTAAATGTTATTGCATGCACATTTGTCAAGTTGCTGCTGCAGATCAAGTTGCAAAATATAATAGAAACAAATATTTCTCTTGAATAATTTTATTCATACCTGATTCACTTTTTGTTTAAAAATTCCATAATTTTTAATTGCAAGCCGGGATAAAAAAAAAATATGAAACTCAGTAATTTAAATCAATATGAAACATTTTAGTGAAGTACAGTTGAACTTCGTTATCTCCAACACTGATATCTCGAATACCATGGATATGTCAAATTGAATTGGAAGTTCCAACCACTTATTCTTGAAGTATTTAACCCTTGATATCTCAAATACTTGAATATCTTGAAGTTTTTTCTTGGTCCCATCAAATTCGATATAATGTGGTTTGACTTAACTTATTGTAATTAATGTTTGCATGAGGATGATAATTTTGACAGATTTAAAAAAAAAAACTTTTTCATGTACAATGTCACAGCTTTAGATTTTAAAATGAAGGAATAGAAAGATCCTGGGGATGAACACTTTAAATGGCAATCCTGTAGGGTTTTAATGAATTGTAAGAGAATAGCATGTGAGGTTTCATTTTTATTGATTTCTTTTATAGCCCTGTGGTGTAGACTATGAGTTGAAGACGTATGTTGCTGACAATGTAGATGAAAAACCACATAAAAGGTAGAGTTTCTGTGTAAAGATGATGAATATACCGGTATATATGTGTATATAAAGTCAAATGTGTGCAAAGTTGATTGAAGAAAATTCTATGAAATAAAGGAAACTTGTATTTATTGAAAATTAAGAATATATAATAAGGGAGACAATTCAACTAATACAATTGAAAATATTGCTTGATACCTTATTACAGTTTTTATGACAGAACAAAAATGCATTTACATCTAGTAAATAAAATGTTTTGTGCATGTTTGTTTTCATGTAAAAGTGTCATCAGTGCAGCTTAGTGATATCCTTTTACTTGTTTACATCATTCACATCGTTGTTATCCCAACGTTGGACGATGTAAACTCATATCAACATTGTCTATATTGCGATGTCGATGTCGACATACAATGTAGAAATAATAACAATGTAGACGATGTAAATTCAATATCGCATCAATATTGTCAACTTTGCAATGTTGACAATGTCAACATAGTGAATGAAAACAATGTAGACAATGTAATTACAATATTGTGTCAACATTGTCGAAGTTGCGATGTTGACAATGTCAACATAGAAATAGTAACAATTTAGAGGGTGTAAACACTATATCGCGTCAACACTGTCTACATTGTGATGTCGGCAATATCGAATTGAAAAAGTCAACTGGACGTGAATGATTAGAAGGGGATTGATTTTGGGCCAGATGAATTTTATTTTTTCTTAAATTCTCATCCCTGCATCTTAAAGTGCCTCCCTCATGGTCTTTAACTTAATTGGTTTAAAAATGGATGAATAAAAAAAGAATTATAAAGATTAAAAGAAAAAATTGTGGTTGGTAAACAAAAAAAAAGTTAGAAAAAATGCATCAGTATTGCAGAAGCTATTAAAATTTAACCACATTCATGATAACACTAAACATTTTGTGCATTTCATATAAAAAGAATGTGATATAGATATTTAAAAAAGAATTTCCATCTGTTTCCATCTGTTTTCCCCCATGTATTTTCTTTTTGCATAGTGGGATGAAAATCTAAAAATTAAGTTTAAATGGCCTTGGTTCAATAAAATTATTCAAGTAACAGTGTTTCATTTAGTTTCATATTAAAATTCAAAGAAAAAAATGGTTAGGGAAACACAGCATTTAATTCCTTTTAAATTGATTTTTTTCTTATAATTAGGTCTGCTGTCACAACAGAGAAAATCATCAAAAGTAAAATTTTGACTTAAATATCTAATTAAAAGTTGATTGTTTCTCTTTTATATTAAACAGGAATTCAGTTCGTCTGGCGATAAGAAAGCTGACATATGCCCCAGTAGAACCGGCTCCACAGCCCAGCGCTGAAGCCACGAAAGATTTCATGATGAGTCCAGGAAACATCAAATTAGAGGCCTCACTTGACAAGGAAGTAAGGCAATACTTGTAAATGTGACCTAGATAAAATGTATATAAGTAGATAAGTTGACACGTTCACCCTAAAGTGTTTCAACAAAAGCCTGGCCTGCCAGAGTAAGTAAAGTGAAATAGTACTAGTACCTCTAAATGCATGGCCGTAGGAACCGGGGGGCTGTGCCCCCCAATAATTTTGCCGATACATAGATTACTATAGTAAACATAGATACTATATGCTTGTGCCCCCTCAATAAAAACGTCTGATGACCTTTTTTTTTTTTGTTTTTTTTTTTTGCTTGTCAGGAAATTTTGATAGTGCCCCTCAACTGAAAATGTATGGCTGTGCCCCCCCCCCCCCCCCCCTCCAAACTGAATTTGCTTCCTACAGGCCTGAAATATGACCTAGATAAAATGTATATAAGTAAACAGGTTGACAGTGCACATACCTAGAGTTTTCGACAAAACTTGGCCTGCGAGAGTAAGTGAAACAGTACCTCTAAATGTAACCCAGATATATTTTAAGACTGTGTACTGGCAAGTAATAAGACAAGGGTTGAAGCTGCATCATTTTATTCAGCAGAATATGGTTGCTCCAGCAGTGGATATATACACTGTATAGATATATTTTTCAGTTGGCCCTCTTTTCTTGCATATTTTTAAACAATGAACAGATTGGAAAAAAAAATTATACACATGTACTGTATACACAAGTATTACATAAGTCTTGAATAGCCCTTTTGAATATTTAAGATATTTTTAAATATTTTCCTTTGTAATAAGGAAGTTGATGGTAGAACAAGTGTTTACTGAGAGTAAGATTTTTTTTTTGAAATTTCATTTTGTAAAGTCACCATAAATTTATCTCTTTGAGGATGTATTATTTGCTGTATGCTGTCAACATCTTTTTAAACAAGGAAACTTAATGGTAGGAAGGAGAATTTTTATAAATGTAAAGTTCAGGTTAAAAATATAAATCATTCATTTATCAACATGATCACAATGTATGTAAGGAAACGATCATCCTTTGGTGAACAGGCTACACACACACACACCCATATTTCAATTTATCAAATAGCTCTTCTATATATTAAACATAAAAGATTCTTCTCCCTTGTGTTCAAGTTAAAAGTGAGCCTATAAAGACCAATAAATTCAGCATTAAGCTCTTGTCAAGACAGTGTAAATACATGTAAAAAATTCCACTTTGAACACACTCATTCGACTGACTAATCTATAAAATGACTCGAGATTTTTATGTCGGTGAAAGTGAAGGGATATTGGATAGACAGGGAAAGGACAATTCATAATTATGTTGACCAATTTCTGTTCTACAAATAAACCTGGAGAAAGCTAGGATTAGTTGTTCCCGGTTTGGATCTGTAATTTGATCTTTGTCGGTGATATAATCGGCCTTCTTCCATCTTATCATCGGTTTAAAGGGTGATAATCTATAGTATTGTCCACCAAAGCTCTTGTACTGTCGTTGCCTTGTTTATACCTTAAAGGTATATATATCTTTGATATTTGAGAATAAGTAATAATGCTCCTTCCTAATAGTATTTGGAGAAAAAAAAATATATCCTAATTAAATGGAAGTTGATGGATAAAGATGTAAGAGACTTTGACAGGAGATGAAGCATCAGTGCATTTTGTGACATGGAGTAGTAAAGGTCCACTGGCCTTATAGCAGTAGGGAATTCATTTTTCAGGACAAGTAATTTAGTTTCAGTGTGTTTCCAATAAGATGAGACTAACCACTCATGACATTTCACTGACCACAACCATCAACTCTGTAAATCATTATCACAAAAATCAATAAGGCACCTGAAGACCTTGTAAAGTGTCATTCTCCATAACATGCACTTCCTTAAATGTCATCTTTTTTTTTCTTTTTTTTTTGAGGGTCTGGTAGTTTTAAATTGTGTCCTTTTAATGCAACACTGACACCCCCCCCCCCCCCCCCCCTTGAGAAATAAAAAGTCATCTGTTGTCCTTATAGATCTGCAATTATTCAAATATTTAATTATTTGATATATTCAACCTTGAGCTCTTTTTTAAGCTCTGTTAGGACCTGTTCTTTAGATATTACTATATTTAGATGGGTTTTTTTTGGGGGGGGGGTCTTTTTAAAAGGGATTAAGGTTTTGCAGAACATATAGATAGCTTTAAATAGATATCAGTTTATATAAACTCAGTTTTATATAGATCTATAGTATATGTACCAAGGATTGGAGATTCCATTACTTTATAAATCTGTGTCATATATATCATTTTATAGCAAAAATCCTAGAATTCCACATGAATTACTCTGAGGCTGAAATTACCATTATATTGTAAATCAGAGAGGGATTCATTGCCAAGACACAGCAGTCTTCCTACTAGTGGCTTTCATATATATATCTTTTACATCCATTAGCACTAATGTTTCACCTGAAAGGGAAATAATTTGAAGTTCATTTAGAAGGATTCTAAAGATGCTTATTTGAAAGAGCTGATCTCTAATGCTGTACAAATGACAGTGTTGACTTATAAACCCAGTGCTTTTTTCCACCGAAGAGCAATTTTACTTCTATCATTGACCTGAAATTGGTCTTTATAATGGCAATCCATATCATTTAGTTAAGTTTCATGGTTCCTAAATGAAGAGTTATTGCTTTTTTACCCCTGTTATTTTGTAGAGCATCAATTTCTAGGATGGAAAAAAAGTTTATTACAGACAAGAGATTTGCATTACCTTAGTGATGCTTAAAACAAAGTGCACTAAGTTAATTGTTATTGATAATGCGTTTATGCAGCTATGTATCAAAAGAAAAGATTCTGAAGAATATTGTCAGTGAATTTATTTTTTACGCTTTCAGAAATACTACCATGGAGAAAGCATAGCAGTTAATGTATTGGTGGATAATAATACAAATAAATCGGTTAAAAAAATTAAGATTTCTGGTGAGTACCAAGTGAGATTCATGCATTGTCTTCTTTGTAAACTTGCACTGAATGAATAGTATTAAGTATATGCAATAAAATGTCTTATTTTCTTATGAATGTTCATAAATTTCATCATATCCAGGTTGCTAAAAAAAAATTATGTACATTTATTGTTAGAAGGTACTTGAAGGGAGATAACTTTTATAGAATTTTTATGATCCACATAACATGTGTACACATGACTTTGATTTTTTGCAGTTCGTCAATTTGCTGATATTTGTTTGTTTTCAACTGCACAGTATAAATGTGGCGTTGCAGAAATTGACAGCGAGTGAGTATATCAATATGTAGTTATTTTTTTATTCTGTAGTTTTAATTCAAAAGTGAGGGATTAAACTTAAAGAATAAGGACTGCATTTAAACTTTCTACATTGTATATAGGCCTCGAATCAGAGCAGATCACATTTTAACTTGAGGAAAACAAAGTTTGTTCCAGGGTTGGCAGGATAGCTATATATACATTTATATATTTTATAGGATAGCTATATATACATTTCTTGATTGGTGTTGATAGAATAAATCAATATTATTGATTTTAATAACTACCAATTGAAAAAAAAGATATGAAAATGCAAAAGCATAATGAGAGAAGACAGATATAAATTGATGGATGTCATAAGACCAGAATTTCCAATAGATGGTTCAATAATGTTTTGACGGTTTTTCACGGAACACCTGATTAGTGTGAACCTCATTCAGAAGGGAAATAAAATTACTCATCGTGAGCAGCCATGTGTGTGCCTGACCTTGGCAGTTTTGTGTGGGCGTTAATAAATAATCAATTATTTGCAAACATTAATGTCTTTTAATCTAGTCAAAGTTCGCAAAGGCAATATAGTACTCCCCCCCCCCCCCCCCCCCCCCTCTTCAAACATTTAAACTTAACATTCACTTGCAATCATTACTGTTTTGGAACGTAACCTAAATACCCCCCCTCCCCCCTCCAAAAAAAAAAATCAATTTTGTTGAATTCCTTCTGGGGAAAATGTTTTACTTTGGCTATATATATATCTATGTTCCTGTCACATCATGTGATGATCAAAAGCTAAGTCTATAGCTAAAATTATGGCAGTTCTAAAAAAAAGCTTCAGATTTGGGAATTTATATAAATTAAAATGCAGCTTAGCGACCTCTATATTCCTATGATCTAGAACCCCTCCCCTGCAAGTTTTGTACGTTTCTTTAAAACTTGTTAGGGTGCAGAAAGTAAATGAGATTTAAAATTGTGGAATACATTTACAGATGAAGATGAACAAGTACTGATTGGTTAAGCTTAAGTAATTTTATTTTCTTTGTATTTTAGGGAAGGCTTTCCTATTCAACCTAGTCAGATAGGGTTTTGCAAAGTTTACTATGTGACCCCATTGTTGTCCAATAATCGAGACAAGCGGGGTTTAGCTCTAGATGGCAAGCTTAAACATGAGGATACAAATCTGGCCAGTTCCACAATGTAAGTCATATACAAAGTTCTGTTTCTATTTGTAACCATTTTACTTCCATTGCTAAGTGCTATTTTACAAGAAATTCTAGGGCATGATTTAGAAACTAGATAATTAGCAGATACCAGTCAAGTTTTTGTTTTATGCCTTGGTGTTTTACTTGAAACTTTTGAAAATATTTTTCCTCATTATATTTATTGAAAATTTTATTTATTCCCTCAATATTGTTTTTATTTTGATCCACAGTATGACTGAATCTAGTCAAAAAGAGAACCTAGGGATTGTTGTTTCCTACAAAGTGAAAGTGAGGCTTATTCTTGGATTTGGATCTGGGTGAGTTATCCTTCTTGAGCTGATAAAAATAAAAAAATCGTATTCTGAAAAGCTAGCACTATGAATAAAAGAAGATTCAATCAGTTTGTCACATACATGGAGGCACATGGATGCTACTTTGTTTTCCTGCCCATCTGTCTGCCTGGAAGAAGTCACACTTTTAAACAAATTTTCAAAACTCAGAATTGTGAAAAAAATTCAGCAATAATTTTTTTTCCAAAAATGTTCTTTGGGGAAAGATTCTGCATCTAATGGTGGTGAAGGTCTATAGATCATGGTCAAAACAGTCAGACTCTATACTTGCTCTCTTGAACACTTCAGAGCATGTGTACTGCACAAAATAAATTTATGGAGGTTTTTAAGAATTAAATTTCCAAATTCTGATCTTAATACAAGTCACAATTTATGTATGGTATTGCCAGTCTATAAAATATGTAAATTTAAGTGAGACATTGTCAGAACTGTTGATGTATTTACAGAGACCTGTGTGTAGAGCTACCGTTTACATTGACTCATCCTAAACCAGCAGAATCCCCTCCCCCCTCCCGTCCTATCAGTGTGGTCCCCAAGGAGGGAGATAATGTGCCGGTGGATACTGACCTTATACAGCTGGATACAAAGTAAGCTTTATTTTACAAAGAGCCATTTAAAGGAAGCAGTATACATGCAAGCAAGGCTTTCTTGGGGAAAAAATACAGTATATCGTGGAATATGCTCTTTTTTGAGTTCCAGTAGTGAAGAACTTTTTGCCAGGATTTCTTATGCCTGTTTACAGTATTTCAAAATTGCATTTAATTTTGCATCATTTGACAGAAATTTTTAAATTGATAAATGCCCATATATTTTTTTTTGGTGATATTTTTAATTTGACAAATACCCACATTGATTTGTGTATTATGTTATATAATGTAGACTAGGATATGATAACTTTATTAAGATATCTGATTTTTTAAATTATTTTGTTTTTGTAGTGGAGTGGAGCCAGACAAGGATGATGACTTTATTTTTGAAGACTTTGCAAGACTAAGATTAAAAGGTCATGATCCAGATGACACAGAAGCTTAAGCTGACCTTTGAACCTACATTTTAAAAAAATCTGCCAGAACCGGAATTTTTTATGTGACATGTCACACGTGCAGGTGTGTTAAACCTTTCAGGATAAATTGAGAATTTGCAGGAGAACTTTCTCTAAAATTCTCAGAACACAAAGTGGTAGAAAAACAAGATATACTGCAGAATGATTTGGGTGTGTTTATGTGTTGTCATAGTAACAAATGTGAAGTTTATATATATATTTTTATTGTAATTAAAACCTGATAAGTGTATTTATTGAAGCCTGTTTTATATATAATACTTTATATATTTCTGCAGAAGGCAAAGGACTCATTTGTCAAAAGAAACACTTTATCAGGTTACAACTATAACTTTGTACTGTAAAATCTGGTAAATTGAAGTCATCCCTCAGCATTTAAGTGTGATAAAGGAATACACTATTTTTGCAATTTATTTGATTGAACCATGAAATTCCCCAAAAATACAGAAGTGTAGACTTCACTCATCATGCAGTATAGAAGCCCCTTCCCATAATGCAGTATATAAGCCCCTTCCTATTTCGGTGCTTCTGACCTCAGTTTGTGATGTGTGTGTTTGTGTGAGAGTTTGCGTGTGAGTTTGAGTGTATTTGTGATAGCCAGTTATTTGTATAATGTAGAAGACTCAGTATTTTGGGTGGCTTGAGAATGTTTTAGTATTATATATTTATTACAAAACTATAGCGCTTGTTTTGAAAGGTTTAGAAAATCAGCATAATTTAAAAAAAAAAATCTTTTACTTTGTATTGTAAATGTTCAAATTATTGTGCTTTAACAGTTAAAAAAAATTGTATTGTTTCCCTGAAATCTTGAAGATAACATTTACCTTTATATGCAAAAATTGATGAAATCAAGTCTGTGTGTACTCCCATTCATTGATGTTGTTCATTGCCCAAGAATTTTTATACCAATTAAAAGCAAAGCTAAAATATTTAATCCTCATTTTTTTTAAATGTATAAAAAAAAAACAGCATGGTACATGTATGTATTCCATTCTTTTTTACTGATTTTTTTTTCCACAGTAAATCGTGAACTCTCTAACATGTATGTATATGGTGTCAATGGAATTGCCTGAATTTTGATTTGCTTTAATATATTTTTATCAGTTCATAAGAAAACAGTTATTTCTGACTCATCGAATATTTCTAACATTAACATGCTTATAGTGAAAACAGGTCTGCATGTTACATATAGTATACTTGATTCTGACAAATCGGGCACTCGCAGGTAACCTGGTGATGACTGGCAACACATTTGATTGTAAACGGGTATTGCACGTGCATCAGGCGGCTTCAAAATGGCTTCCTTGGAAAAAGTAGTATCGAAATTGGTTTATTATAAGACATAAAGCTTTTGATTGAGGTATGCTGGTGTGATAAGCATGACTTCAAAAGTGTAGTCCTCTTCTATGCTTGGTAATGTTTTACGATAGAAATACAAAATTTTTATCCTGTACGATAGCCAGATCACTTGATTCTAAGTGCGTAGCCAGGTTTACCAGGCTTGGTTAGGCTTGGTCAAATTCTATCTGAATCAAGTATGCTAATAGTTTTTAGCTCACCTCGACGAAGTCGAGATGAGCTTATGCTATACCCCCGGCGTCGGCGTCGGCGTTAGCGTCGGCGTCCCAGGTTAAAGTTTTAGGAGCAAGTCCCATTCCCAAGTAACTATAAGCCCTACCTGGACCAAACTTGCATGGATGATGCATCTAGGGATGGACACTACCAAACTTGCTTCGGATGCTGGATCTGACCTAGATTTTCCAGATGAGTGACCAGGTTAAAGTTTTAGGAGCAGGTCCATTCCCAAGTAACTATAAGCCCTACCTGGATCAAACTTGCATGGATGATGCATCTAGGGATGGACACTACCACACTTACTTCGGATGCTGGATCTGACCTAGATTTTCTGGATGAGTGACCAGGTTAAAGTTTTAGGAGCAGGTCCATTCCCAAGTAACTATAAGCCCTACCTGGACCAAACTTGCATGGATGATGCATCTAGGGATGGACATGGCCACACTTACTTTGGATGCTGGATCTGACCTAGATTTTCCGGATGAGTGACCAGGTTAAAGTTTTAGGAGCAGGTCCATTCCCAAGTAACTATAAGCCCTACCTTGACCAAACTTGCATGGATGATGCATCTAGGGATGGACACTACCACACTTGCTTCGGATGCTGGATCTGACCTAGATTTTCCGGATGAGTGACCAGGTTAAAGTTTTAGGAGCAGGTCCATTCCCAAGAAACTATAAGCTCTACCTTGACCAAACTTGCATGGATGATGCATCTAGGGATGGACATGGCCACACTTACTTCGGATGCTGGATCTGACCTAGATTTTCCGGATGAGTGACCAGGTTAAAGTTTTAGGAGCAGGTCCATTCCCAAGTAACTATAAGCCCTACCTGGACCAAACTTGCATGGATGATGCATCTAGGGATGGACACTACCACACTTGCTTCGGATGCTGGATCTGACCTAGATTTTCCAGATGAATGACCAGGTTAAATTTAAGGAGCAGGTCCATTCCCAAGTAACTATAAGCCCTACCCGGACCAAACTTGCATGGATGATGCATCCAGGGATGGACACTACCACACTTGCTTCGGATGCTGGATCTGACCTAGATTTTCCACATGAGTGAATTTTAGCCATATTTTAACCAAATTAGCATGGATGATGTATCTAGGGATGGACACTTCCAGACTTGCTTTGGATTCTGAATCTGACGTACATTTTCCAGATGAGTGACCAGGGTAATTTTTTTGGAGTAGCTATATAATATTATGGCCTGTTATGATTAAACTTGCATAGATGGTGCATCTAAGGATGAAAACTTCCAGACTTGGTTTGGATGTTGGAACTGACCAAAATTTTCTTGATTACTTAACAGGTCAAAAGTTTTTTGAGCAGGTCTATAATTAAATCAAACTTGCGTGGATATTGATCTTGGGATGTACCCTAACTAGAAAAAAAATATGATGTGAAATTTGCCTTACATGTAGATAACATTCGTCGAGGTGAGCTTCGTAATCTTTGATTACCTATGTTTTTTTTTCCAACAAAAAAAGCTAAACTGAGAGATTAACTTTGAAAAGTGTTAATTAATTAGTTTTTGGAGCATGCATTGTATACAAAGAGAAAAAATTGGCATCTCTGATATATACAAAGTTAAAAAGAAAATGACAGTTTGGCACTGAAGATTTTTTTTTCTGCATGAAAATTGTCAGTAATTTTGTGGACTTGATAGGAGAGTGACTGGTGATTTTTTTGTAATACTCAAGCATCAATACGGGATTAGCTTAGAAATGTAGATGTAGATGTTTAGCAATTTTTTTTTTCTAAAAGTGCTTAAGTAATACAATGTGTAACATTTTTATGTACATTGTTTTAAGTTTTGAAGTACAGTGCTTTAACTGATGAAATAAAGGAGTTGCATTATTAAGTGCATTTTTTCGATAAATTAAGAGTCGAGAACATTGTTTGATACTCTAGTAACGTAGATCACTGGTTAAACTGTTAACAACAGAACAGTATTCAGCATTAGCAGATGATAATGGCCTGGTTGTCCTGTGAGATCTAAGGCCTCACCATGCTTATTTATGTACAACATTATATGCTTTGTTGTTGTTCAGTAGTCCTGAAATTTAATCATTTGTATTGTTAAGTAAATACTGAAATGCACTGACTGTTTGTTGTCTCTGCTGTAAGCATCTGAAGATGAGCTGACTGAATCCCTGTTCAATATGCTCTTTACCTTATCTTTAGTGTAAAATATACATGTACAGTCAAATCTCGTTATCTCTAATTCAGTGGGACAGAGGAAAAAATTCAAGATATCTGAGTATTTGAGATATCGAGGGTAAAATACTTAAAGAATAAGTGGTTGGGACTTACAGATCACTTTGACTTATCCATGGTATTCGAGACATCAGTGTTCAAGATACTGAAGTTAACTTTATATGGTATGGATTACAATTTATTAGATCACCTGAGTCACTCAGGTGATCTATTGCGATCTGTTTTGTCTGTCAGTCGTCTGTTAACATTTTCAGCTTCTTCTCTGGAATGTTTAAACCAAAATCAACCAATTTTGGAGTATAGCATCTTTGGGTAAAGGGGGAAAATTTATGAATTTCATGGTCCTTGTCCTCCTGAGGGGCGGGGCCAAAACCATCAAAATGAATGCAATGAAATTCAGGGAACGGTCAGGGGATCTATTGATCATACAGTAAAAAAAGGCATTATTACTTAAAGTGATTCCATACTCACATTTTATGAGTTCAAATTAAAGAAAAAACTATTAATTTCCACTGAATATGGTTTAAGAAAAAAAATCACCACAAAAATGATTAGTTTCCCTCCTTTTTTAAAATGTCTTACAAAGATAAAGAAAAGTATCTGTTAGCATTACAAAATATTTCATTTTAGCTAAATGGCATTATCAAAATTGCTAAAAAAAAATGGTTTGAATTATATAATTTTACTAATGAATGTTCCAAATATTTGTAATTCTAAAAATATGTATTAATTATGGATGTCTGGGAAACCAATGAACAATTGAAGTATAATAAAGAAAATGCAAGGGTGAAAGATACATGGGTAAGAGTTTTTGCTCTTTGCACATAAATATTTATGGATTAAATAATATTTTTTAAATTATTTTATTAAGCAGCATTTTTAATTACACCTTTGAAAAACATTCTTTCAAAAGATATATTGAGCACAAACTAATATCAACGAAAGATTTGGCCTTGCCACCTATGACATCACACAAGGATGGAATGACCTTTAATTAATGAAAGATTTTGTAAGAACCTATGATGACATCATACAAGAGTAAGATGACCTTAAATACTTGTAATCTCCCTTTCTCTCGCTGTGCACTTAGCAGGCAGACAAAATACATGGTTATGATGAGCAAGTTTGCCTCTACCTATATTGTGAAATTCAGAGTTCAGAAGGGTTCTGGTGTTTGGTGGGCTCTACTGACCATATGATGGAAATTCATCAATTCTTCAAAAATCTCTTTTCCTGGGTATTTAGAAGACAAACTAAGTACATGGTTAGATGAGCAAGGGTTCCTTGACCTAAATTGTGAAATTCATGGCCCCAAGGTCAGGTTTTCTTGTGTTAGGGTGGAGCCATATTGATCATATATTGAAAATGTATTAATTAATTGAAAATTTCTGCATTTGGATGGTTAGTAAACAAAATAAGTGCATGGTTACAAGCAAGGGTGGTTCTACCTATATTGTGAAAGTCATGACCCATCGGACAGAAGTTCTGACGTTAGGATGGGGCTCTATTGATTATACATGTACGAGTACACAATTCTCTTTATCGGTTTTTGACTTCAATGAATGATGTTGTCATGGTTACTAAAAATAGAAATTTCTGTGAAATTCTCTTAAAACGCTACAGTGCCTATTCCACCTACAGTTTCGGTCTGATTTCAATAAAGATTTCTACACAAGTAGACTACACTAAGACACATATTTTGTGTATCGGTTTTTGATTTTGATGAATGGTGTCGCCATGTTTACTAAAATTAGAAATTTATGAGAAATTCTTTTAAAATGCTACTCCTCTTACAGTTCTGGTCTGATTTCAATAAAAATTGGTACAAATGTAGACTACATTAGGACATCATTTTATGTATCTTTTTGTGATTTGCCATGTTTACTAAAATTAGAGAAGTCCAAGTGCTACTCTTCTCTTCTTTGTTATGAGTACAAACCAGTAGAGCTACAGTCTCATCAGAGACTTCTGGTTTTTATTACCATCTCATTGATGTTGCAGAACATTGTAAAAATGACAGTCTTTTGCATATATATATCTCAATTTAAGAAGAGAACGGATCTATTTGGAATATGTACAATTTGGCAAAACCAGAATTAGTCGTTCGATGACATATCAGCACTGCGGTCTGCAGTTTTTATCATCAATCGTGATCAACTGCATGGTCTCAAAATTCGCACTCATATGTAGCAGGACTTGCAGAGTATGGATTCTCCTGATATTCAGATATATTTTTTTGGACTTGAAATGACTTAGTCCTGGGCAAAATTTCAGGTGAGTTGAGGCGGTAGAATTTAAAAAAAAATATTCTAGAATTAGTTTTTATGAAAAATTTTAGGAGACAGGGTTGGTGTAAAATAAAAAGGTGGATTTTCTGATGAACTTCTTAAAATATTTGACTTAATGGTTAATGTTCTGAATGAGTTAAGATAATGAAATATAGAAGAAATGAAGAGGCGAGAAAATGTGTATAATAATATGGAAAACTCGTTTGTGGATCGTATCCTATTGTAAAGAAATGTAAGCTTGAAAGAAGCATCTGTTCGCGTTCAATTGATTGTAACTATCATAAATTAAATTCATACATATACATGTATATTTAATGTAAGGAGAAAACGGGACAATGAAAGCACGGACTGCTATTTTTCTTTCAAGATTAATTAATTCTAAATAAAATTAAAATAGATTCCACATGAAAAAAGATTTCCCGGCAGCAAAATAATGGATCATATTAAAGGAGATGAGTGATATTAAAGGAAATGAATGCCATTAATGACATCTGAGGAAATTTCTAATGAAAGATTTGTTTTTTTTTTCTGTTTATCTGTTCAGTAGTTGTTGTTCCTGTTAAAAGTAAAGGACACATGCTACAAACAAAAGGGGAAAAAAATGCATGGATTGGTGTATATTTAATTATGCTCCGCCATGAAAATATCCGGGGCATATAGAGTTTGTCATGTCCGTCGTCCGTCCTTACATCCTTCCGTCCTTCTGCCTTTCCGTCGCGCTTTGCGTTTAACTCTGTTAAAAGCTCAGTTTCAAAGAAACTATCCAAGATGTTTTTATAAAACTTCATACTGTGATAGATATTGTTGAGAGCTATTCAACTGCATCATCATTTTTTGACCTTGACCTTTCCTTTGATCTTGACCTAACTTTTCTGAAATTAGTGTTTAGCTCAGTTTTAAAGAAACCATTCAAGATAGTGAAATCAAACTTCATATGCTGATACATACTGATGTAAGCTATTCAACTGCATAAAAAATTTTGACCTTGACCTTTACTTTGATCTTGAACTCACTTTTCATAAATTAGTGTTTAGCTCAGTTTTAAAGAAACCATTCAAGATAGTGTAATCAAACTTCATATGCTGATACATACTGAAGTTAGCTTTTCAACTGCATCAAAATTTTTTGACCTCGACCCTTTCTTTGGCCTTGACCTCACTTTTCTTGAATTAGTGTTTAGTTCAGTTTTTAATAAACCATTCAAGATAAAATAAACTTCATATGCTGATACATACTGAAGTAGGAAATTCAACTGCATAAATATTTTTTGTCCTTGACCTTTCCTTTGACCTTGACCTCACTTTTCTTAAATTTTTGTTTAGCTCAGTTTTAAAGATATCATTCATGATATTTTTATCAAACTTTATATGCTAATACATACTGATGCTAGCTTTTCAACCGCATCATCATTTTTGACCTCGACCTTTCCTTCGACCTCGACCTCACTTTCAAAAAAAAAAAAAAGATTATTGTTTAGCCCAGCTTTAAATAAACCATTCAAGATATTTTTATCAAACTTAACATGCTGATACGTATTTGTGAGAGCTATTCAGATGTATCAAAAACTTTTGACCTTGCACTTTCCTATAACCTTGACCTCACTTTTCTTTAATTTGCATTATGCATAATTTTAAAGAAATCATTTAAGATATTTTTATGAAAGCTTATGCACTTATACATAATTTGACAAGAATTTATCATCTATATCCAATTTTTTTAGATTTCAATTTCAATTTTAAAGAAACTATTCAAGATATTCTCATCAAACTTCATACACTAATACAAATTTTCATGTTGCATTATTAATAAACACTCGGCGGGGCATTCATGTCCTATGGACATATTTTTTGTTTTGAACTTATTTTGGTTGTAATTGATGCACATATCAAATCTCTAAAATGATATAACAGAGTAGACTTTTTTTTCATGTTCAATTTTCTTCCTTTTTGCCATCGCTTTTATAAATCTTTACAATTCTTGTCACGTTTTTGAAAAACTGAATGAAAAATGAAACTTAAGGCAGTTGAACTTATTCATTTTACATGTACATGTATTTATACAAACATGGATTTATTGTTATTTTCATGATTTTTGATTTGTATCATCTATTATTAAATAGTTCATAGGTACGGGGAACAACAACAATCAAACGTTGCAGAAAGTCTCTAAGAGGTTTTGTCGACAGTACCCTAAAATTTTGTGTCTAGAGAAAAATTCTACATCGCTACTGCACTGAGAAAGGGGAGGGGGTAGGCTGAAAGTAAATAAGTTTATAGATACATGTAAATAACGACTAACCTTAAGGAAAAAATTCAAAGCTGAATTCAAAGTTACTTGTGACCTAAAGGTCAAAGGTCAAGACCAAATCCTCACGTCATTGCCATCATAATTTTTTTTAAAGTTTACATTCTTCACTTTCGCCTTTGAACTTGATCAAGAGAACCATTGCAGGTGCTTTTATGTTTCTATGACTCTGCGTTTCCAAGTTTAAACTTTAACGAAGAAAGGTAAAGAACTCAAGACCCACCTCTCAAAAGTGTCACCGTCAATTGTGTCCAATCACTCTCAGGGGAATATCAGTAATTAGCGTTAATT